GGTGTCACCCTCCCAAATTTGGGGCGCCTCACCGTCAGGAGGTTGTGGGGCCAATCCATGAACCCGTGGAGGCCCCCGGAGCGCCGGACGAGCTCCGAGCCCTGCGGAGAGAGGAGAACGCGGGGGCTCGGGAAGGGGAATGTGGGAAGCGAGGGGGATTTTCTGGGAATTCTGATGGAATTTGGGAAAGGGAAATGGGGAAATTGAGGGGTTTTAACTCAAATTTCACGGAATTGAAGGGGTTTGGGGTTTATAGCGGAGCCTCGCTGGCAGCAGGGCAGGAAAGGCGCTCGGAAATCCCTCAAAAAAGCCGAGAAGGGACCGGGAGGGACCCGCGGAGCCCCCGGAGCCGCTCACCGGSCGCGTTCCCAGGTGGAAGGTGTTGCCGAGGCAGATGCGGCAGCCGAGCGCCGCCAGCTGCGCGGCCGTCAGGCCCTTGGCGGTGCCGCGGGTGCCCACGGGCATGAAGACGGGGCAGGGCACGTTCCCGTGCGGCAGCCGCAGCTCTCCGGCCCGGGCGCGGCTCCGCCCGCACTCGGCCACGATCCGCAGCACCGGCAGCGGCTCCGCCGTGGGCGCCGCCATCTTGAACGCGCCGGACCGGAAGAGGGCGCGGGGATGCCGGAAGTGACCGTTACCATGGCAACGCGGACGCCATGTTGGGCCTTGTGGGGTTGGGGAACGCCCGAGCCCGGGTACCCTCAAAGATAACCAGAAATAACCCAAACTCCACAGAGACCGCTCCAAACCCTGACAGGGCAGGGAGCGGAGCTAAATCCCGCTGTTCTCGGCCCTGGGGGGGTCACCAGCGCATCCTCGGGGATTGTCATCCCCGCGAGCGAACACGCGAGGCTCGGGAGGGGCGCGAAACACCGTAACACCTCATGAACGAGCGGGAATTGGTGACTGACAGCTCTGATTAATTGCCAGAGGGTTTTCTCTTCCCTCCGCTTCACTCTCTCGGCTGATTGGTCAGCCCGGTTGGAGTGACGGGCGCRCTGTCCAATGGGAAGGAGGGCGGGGAGGGAAAGGTGGGCGGGCTCTTGGGTGTGTTCCGGGCAGCGATTGGACRRCGCTCCSGAATGGAAGTTCTGTCCACCAATGAAATGGCAAAGTCGACTCTGGGGGGCGGGACCAAGTTACTGCTGCCTCAGCTGACACTGGAGCGCCACCTCCTATTGGCTGTGAGAAATGAGTGACGGGTCAGATGCCCAATAGAAAACGGACTTGGCTCCCGATCCCGCCCTCATTGGTGATTGACAGCGCGCTGCTCCTATCCGCTCTGGGCGCTCCCGTGACGGGCAGCTCAGCCGACCAATGGCAGCGCGCGCTGCGGGAGCGGGGCGGGCCCGGCGGTGCCGGATGAGGAGACTCTGAGGGGAAGTTTGGCCGCCGCCGCCGCCGCGGGCCCCGTGAGGAGGAGCCGCCGCCGGGAGCGCGGTCCCGGCACCTCCGCGCCGCCATGGGCAACCGGGGCATGGAGGAGCTCATCCCGCTGGTCAACAAGCTGCAGGACGCCTTCAGCTCCATCGGGCAGAGCTGCCACCTCGACCTGCCGCAGATCGCCGTGGTGGGCGGGCAGAGCGCCGGCAAGAGCTCGGTGCTCGAGAACTTCGTGGGCCGGTGAGCGGCGGGAGCGGCGCGGGAGGAGCGGCGGGAGCTGCGGGCGGCGCCGCGGGCGTAGAACGCGTTGGGGAATAGCGCCGGCGTAAGGGCGCGGCCGGCGGAGCTGCGCAAAGGCCGCGCAAACGGCGCAA